TTCACTGGAGTTGCTTGGAAGAATCTGAGCCGGGGCAAACTGTATACATCGAGCTCCTAACCTTTGAAAATATGGTAAAATCGGAAAATAGTCCCATGCCAAGAATTCTATAAGAACGTCGGTAAATTTTGTAAGATATACCAATTGAAGTCTTGCTTCGATAGAGCTTCTCTGAGGTCATCCTCAGTTTTTTTTTTACTTTCCCCACTGGATATTCCGCCGCACATAGGCAAGTTGCTAGCTATTTAAGATCTGGCCTTGGAAGTTGCAACTGCGAGGCGATAGCTGGTCTTCTGGAGGACTCCGCGTGACGGTTCTCCTCTTTTCACCTCTGTCCAAGTAGAGTACTTTGTGGACTTTGCTTTTGTAATTTGGATGGCCGTCGGGTTTTGTTAGGTTTCTTGCGAAGGGTCTTTTGTGTTTCCATACAGCATGGGTATATTCCAGGTGCGTTAACGATTGTTCATGGCAGATCACATCACTTATGTGCATTGTAAAGGACAAAGAAAACGCGGAGAAATCCGACGTGGTAGCAACACATCCAGGTGAGTCACAAACCTCTGACACGGTAGACATGACTGACGAGCAGGTACTTTCTCAGCACTCGTTGTAGCGTGTGCGACTCTTTCGTGAGCGTCTCCATGTGTGGACTGACGTTCCTCTACACCTATTCTTCATCTCATCGTCCCACTTGATCTTCTTCATATCTCTGATGTAAAGAGTTGCGCGAAAACTCATTATGTCGATGAGCTTCTCGTGGATAGAGGATGGATGGTCTTGGAACAAGCGCTTCAGCTGGTCATATTCTGCCATGCCGGAGGCTGTGATGGATGGTCGACGACGGACCCACTTGCGCACGTAGGGTATCAGAGCAATGAAGGACAACGACCGCGAGGTAGGGGCAAGGTGCTTGGCGTTGATATTGGTCAGCCCAGCTGTTGTTCTAGCGCCAGCATCGAGAATAAGCAGTGGCGTGCAAGAGTTATGCAGTTCGAGATAGTCGAGTAGGACCGTCGAGATCTCATTGGCCATGGCCGGAATCGATGCCAGGAGGATAGTATATTGCCCTATGCCGCGAAGTGCAAATACTGCCGAATCAACGAGCATAAATTTCTCCTCCTCGATGATCGCCAGTGTCGGGTCTTTCTTGTTTTGCTTAGCAGCACTGTAGGCTCGGAAGGGGTGGGTTTCTCAGCAAATTCCGTTCGCCTGTTACCAGGCCTGCGGTACTAGCGTCCGTGTAACCGAGCCATGCCGGCGGATCAGTGGTCATGGACTAGGCAATGTGTGCCAGGATCAATTCGTCCTGGGGCTTGAAATCGATGCGCTCCCACTTCTCAAACTCCATCTTTTGCACCAACTTTTGCTTTTCCACTTCGTGCAGAAACGGGATAAAGTCGAGAATTTGGTTGTTCGCGACGTCTTTGAGCGCCGTTCCAGAATGTCCAGAGACTGCCTCGCATTCATTAACAAACAGGCGATTCAGCGTAAAGTAGCTTAGGGAATCGGTCAATCCAAGACGAACCGTTTGCTCGGTTCTGACACGCAGCACCTTTGTCATCTCTGATTGTGCCTTGTCCACTGCCTGTACGAGGAGGCTCGACATGTCAATGGTTTGGGTTATATCTTCCGGTAAATTACATCCCGTCGAAAGGTTGGGCGAACAGACCTCGCATTCGAATCCCTTCTCGCCAGCGGTCGAGGACTTCGCGACGACCAGTCATGGCCGGGAAATGGGTTTTCCGCCCTTGGCGAAAGCGAAACTGCTAAGGAACGCGGGTTCCCTGACTTGCCGCCTGAGGGCGTCGACATGATCGCGCAGTGCTGCGTAACGTTGCGAGTGTGGTGGCTTGGGAATTGTTAAGGTGTCGAGGCAGGCTCATGGTTCAGCAGTTGTATTACTTGTGACGAAACGGTGTGGAGATAGGAGCGTTCTTGATGTTGAATTTTAATGTCACGTAATGGAAATCACAGATGGATGAAATCTGTTTCTCATAGAGTGTGCTAGTGGAAAAGGTAGAGATAGACTTCCAGTGGTGAAAGATTGCGGACTTGAGAGGTAAGGATCAATTATTTCCCAATTGGCGCCGCTAGGGCTTCCTATTGCTGACTAGCGCACCGCACATACATATATTGCTGCATGTCAATACAACTCAGACGTCCAACACAATCTTCCTCACTAGAGGGCGATATAATAACTTGGACTACGGAGGCGTATTTCAAATGTTCGTTCGCGCCCTCGTAAATTACCTTGAATTTATATTTCAGATCGTGGAAAGCTAATAAGCTTCCTGCATTGGAACAATGTGTACAGATCTGTATATGAATAGATAGCTGCTTACCTACCAGCCTACCTGCTTGATATTCGATCAATTTCTCTGCAAATAGATATTGCTACCATAATGGAATGGAAAATGCTAGCTATATGTCTACCTAGCTACATATCTACCTACTTGATATCCAATTGTTCTTTATACAAATAGATATCATCATCTAGCTACCAACCTACCCACACAATGTCTGGCCAATTGCTAATAGAGCAGAGAATGTTAGCTACCTATGTATCTACCTGCCAACCTACCTGCGTAATATCCAATCAATCTCTATGAGAATAAACATCACCTATCTATCAATGATATCTGCGATGATATCTAACAATGATATGTATCGATGATGATATATAATATCTAAGAGTATAGCAACTATCATAGCTGCCTTTGATCTAGATGCACGACAAACTAGATGGTGTCAATGCAATTATAAACAGCAAGATTGATGAGATAGTTTTATGTTGATCGACCTGATCGTTGATGGAAGTTAAATTGGGTATGGGGATATAAAGAGGAAAAACGATGCCCTCTATGGCCGACAAAGATCACCACTCCTTCGGATTAATGAGCTATTCTTCTACCTTCCGAAGACTAGGTTTTACATCACTATCTGAGGATAGATGCCTCTTCTCAAATGATCGCCTAATTATATTCTTCTACATCGCTGATATCACTGCCCCGTCACCCCCTAAAGGTTTGGAGGAAAGAAAGCGATCAATTGATCGCTGATATCCAAGGATATGTACCAGATTCGACATATGGGAAACCTTCTGTGGTTCCTTAATATGAGAATTACTAGAGATAGAGCCTCAAGCAAGTTATGGCTCTGTCAGAATACAGGCACCCAGCTGGACTGGTCGGAATTTGTGAGGTGATTCTAAATACGATGGGAGCTGGTTTTCTAACCACGTTCAACTCAACTAGGTGCTCAAGGAAAAAAAGGAAGAAAAAAATCGGTGGATCCCCTAATATTAAATCATGAAGTTTTAGAATCATAGAATCACATGCGAAGCAAGTCGAGGGATTGTGCAGTAAATGGGGCAATCTTCAGAGAGTATAAAAAAGACGCAGAAAATGGAAGACATACACACATGTCTACTTTAGACTATATATGGACAACCTGTATAGATGCATATGTATCATCAAAGCAAAGCAATTGCCCTATAACGGGAATTCGATCTCCCACTGTCGAGGCTTTTTTTTTTTTTTTTCGTCTTCTGCTGGCAGGGTTACACCAGTACATACATGCGTCAATGCAAGGAACAAATGTAGAAAAATGGAACATTTCCAAATCTAATCGATCTACAGAGTTATATTGTTAATAGGTTGTTTCTTTCAGTCCATGCTATATTTGCTGATACATATATCTTGTTGTGTTCGGTAGTGTGTTTCAATATGTGCAGTACTGATATATTTCGATATAAGCCTGGAAGAATGAAATCTTTGTGTCTAATAAATTGTTGATGACACGCCTTTCCAGAACAGATCATGAGTAGTAGAGTGATGATTTGCTGTGCTAAGATTAGTTCGCCTTACACTGTTTTTAGAACAGCAGATGGCCGTTGTAGCCTGGAAAGGAAATAAACGTGGAAATGAATGAAATCAAGCCGTACAGGGACGACGACCCCCCCCCCCCCCCCCAAAAAAAAGGAGAAAAAAGATAGACATGAGAAATAACAACGAAAACTGGCCTTCATCTTCAAAAAGTGTTGTAACATGTTGAGATTAATAGTTTTTACTCTTCCCATCGAATCTTCTTCGGGGTCCGGAATACTCCCGTAAACAAATCTCCGAGTCAAAGCGACGCTTCAACTAGCACGACAGGAAAGCGAGGTGCCAGTATGGGGTAACATCGGAAGATCGTGGAAAGAACAAGTCGCAGGAGATCAGCCAAATTCAGTGCTAGCTGGCAGGGGTTAAAATTGGATGTGCAGCTTTTTTTTTCCTTCGAAAAGGCAGAAAAATGATGGTTCTTACGAGATCAACAGGATCTACGAGGTTGATTTGATTTTTATTTTTTTTTTTTTTGTTCAAGGGATGTTACTGAATTGCGAGGAAATTAGAAATTATATGCACAAGAATGATAAGGAAATGATTAGATAAAGCAAAGACGGCCAAAAATGGAGGGTACAACAGTGGCAAGAGAAGAATGAACTCGGGTATAATATGAAAGGAGGGGAAAAGCAAAAAAAATAAAAATAAAAATAAAAATAAAAAAATTGGGAACCTCATAATGGCAAGAAAAGCTCACGTTGTTGTTTCTCTCGTTCTCCCTAGCCCTCAGAGTTGCTGCAAACGTAGAATCGAGGACAAGACAAAAAGGCTGGCTACACATATAATTATCGGCAGGCTTCTTTCGAAAAGACTTCACAAGAGACGGGAAGAAGTCAAGAGAGAGAAAACGGGAAATTGATGCGATGGCATTCAGCTTGGCTCACGGGGAGATCTCAGATCAAGCAGAACGAAATAGACAAGACGCCGAAGTGGTTGGAAAATGCCATCAAGAGCAGCCAGAAAATTATTGCACGCTCCCCAAGAATTCAGGTTTCCAACTCTTTCATATACTAGATATATAGCGGGTAGAAAACAAAAGATCTGGTGGCTGTTTGAGAACCGAACCCCATGCCCCAAAAATGTTGCGTTCGTGTCGGTCATCATTAAGAATGAAGTGAAAGATATATAAATATATATAGCACATGAATTAAAAGGCTCGCTCTTAGCTGCTTAAGGAAAACGAGGAGAAAAGGAAAGAATTAGAAACGATGAACTTTCTGCCATTTGATTACCCCAAGTATGAAAATTAAGAACAAAAAGCCCAGAGCAGAGCCCCAGCTTCTCGACGCTAGCCGTAACAGTCGCTGAGAGAGCCTACTTAGGGTCCAACAGACCGAAGAGATAGCGAGAAAAGCTGGGGCAGATCGTGGGTATCATCATTGAAAGAAAATCTATGCAAGGAAGAGAGCAGCGACAGCAGCGAGACCGGCGACGGCGAAGTTGGTTCCAACGGAGCTGGCAGCACCCTCCTGGTAAGGGGGAGGGGTAGGGTTGCTAGAGAAGACGTTAATAATCAACGAATCGAATGAACGATATGGTGCTATGAACTTACGTTGGGTAGCCACCGGTTGGCTGGGGAAGACCCTCAGTGCCAGCTGAGTAGGTGGGAACAGTGCTCTTAGTTGGGTAGATGACAGTGGTGGAGGAGGTCACAGTTGGGATGCAGGTGGTGTAGGTAATGGTGGAGGTGGTTGGCTGAGCGCCGGTTGGGTAAACGCTCGACTCGCCACCACTGGGATAAGAGTCAGTTGGGTTAGCGCCAGTGGGATACTCATCACCAGTTTGCGAAGCGCTTGGGGTCTCAGTTGGGTAGCCAGTGTCAGTGGGTTCAGGCTCTCCAGTTGGGTAGCCAGTGTCAGTGGGTTCAGGCTCTCCAGTTGGGTAACCAGTGTCAGTGGGTTCAGGCTCTCCAGTTGGGTAGCCAGTGACAGTGGGTTCAGGCTCTCCAGTTGGGTAGCCAGTAGGCAGGGGCTCATCGGAGGAGACGGGATAATCCGAGGAAACGGGATACCCGGTAGGCTGAGGTTGATTACCTGGGCAGTTGTAAACACCTGGGGGGCAGCTGGTGATAGTCACGTCCTTGGTGGAGTAGACGGTGGTCGGCTCAGGATAAGGATCGACAGGGTAGCCATTTTGGTAGCTGGCGAGAGCAGAGCCAGCGAAGAGGGCAACGGAAGCAGCTGTGAAACGCATGTTGACAGTATGTGAGGTGTAATTAATTAATAATTGCACGAATAAATATCGTTAAAATTATTGGCGAGGAGTAACGAAAGTAGCGGTTGCTGGAAATTTAAAAGAGCGTGGGCGACCGAGGTCGAAAGAGTTGGATACTTCAAGGAAGATGGAAGAAGATTTGACTTGAGTATGACAGGAGAAGAAGAAGAGAGGAAAGAGAAAGAAGGACAGCAACGTGGGCGGCCGCCAACTTTTGTAGGACGTGGGAGATTAAGCTGGCAGATCATCGCTGCGCTCCAGCCCGGAAAGGGGGAGTGACTGAGCGGGACATCGCCTGGGCTTGTAACCTAGCCCCAGCTGTCCAGGCGGGCTTTAGCTTGTCTTGCCTCAGTCGCCTGTTCCCGTTGTCCATCGAAGAGGGAAGAACCAGCTGGTGTGGGATGGGCCTAATTTCGAGCAGACCATGTAGCCATGCAACCTTGCAGCGCTGCTTGGCCCCTCACTGGCTGCTCTGATTAAACCCCCTTGTGTGGCTTCATCTCGACGGTCATAGTGCAAGCATCTCGCCTGTTGAGTGGCTCCTTTTTTTGGGGGAAGACTGTCTCGTCGCTTTCCAGCGCCAATTCCAATGGGATTACCCTATCGTGATCCTTGCCCGCCCAGCCAGTCCGTTGTGGCGACAGTGGTGGGTGATCCACTCCACTTGCGGCCATCAAAGTGTGCGACTAGAGAGGGCTCAGAGAAAACAACTGGCTCTGGAAGTACTCCAGCAAAATGCTCCACAGCTCATTTCTTGACTAGCTCTCACAAAGTGCTGTTGCATTATCGGCTTCTACGGCTCCTGGTTGGATACAGGCAACTGGCCACAACGCCAAAGTGGAGCCTTGAGCACGAAGGATTATTTCCTTAATAATTGCACTTCTGCAGGTACCAGAACGGCTCGCTATTTATGCCGCCCATGTCCCTGACGAGGCGTCACCAGAAAAAAGCCTTCTGTAATCCGCCTCCCCACTGTCCCGAGGTTCTGAGGTTAACTCTGTTGCGGAACGCAGTTATCAGAGACTGCCTCCCCTTGAGGTAGAAGCGCTATCATATCTGATTCTGCCCAATTAGTGGTTCAGCAACGACGATTCCACGCATCTCGCATGAGGTGGAGGTTTGTTCCTGGGCGGGAACAGACCACGGAAGCAGTTTGTGGCTGAACGGTTGAAAACCGAATTTCTGTGGTCCATTCTGAGGCCAGTAAGCTTGCCCCCCATCTGTGGAGCCGTTCGTGGCCATCAATCTCCGTCCACCAATCTTTGCTTCTTTTTTGCAAACGGCGCTGGCTTGATCTCGGTCAGTAAAATTACAATGCGGTAACCAGCCAATTACACTGCCAGCGCATTACAGCGTACAGTGCAGCTGCGGCTTTTTCATCGTCAGGGATGCATCAACGAGCTGGGGTGTTTCTTCCAACAATTGTATTCTTATTCATGGGTTCTGTTACAACCACTGTTGAAGGAAAAGAGCTCACTCACTCTGCAATCGATCTGTGCTTCTGGAGTCTGGACTTAGTAATAAATCGCAAACCTCCACAAGAGAACCCTCCTTCGAGAAAGTAATAATAGGATTAATATCCAATCACAGCTTTGCATCTCCCCTGTGTTTATGGCGGACAATTGACCAGGGAGATGACATTAAAATATTCTTCCGTCGCGCGCCAGTGTGGACAGGTATTTTTGGTCTATTCCTCCTGTGCTCTATTAGATTGCTCTCTTTTCATCATTTCCCTGCGAGTTTCACTTGAACCTTTTTTGCTTCCTGAATTATCGTCATTAGTAATTGATATTCCAAGGTTCTCACTCACATTCGTTTCCGTTCATTCCTGCAATCCTCAAGGAAATAGCCTGTTGACGTGTACATTGTATGTAATAAACACTGTACCGTCCACCCATGCATGCACAGGCATGTCAGTGTCTGTCCATTATCTAAAAATTAAAAATAGGCGTATCTCGTAGAATTGCCGCCAAGTTCCGACGAACGGTCTGATTCATGCCTTGCTTCGAACACTGTACTGCGTATGATGATGTACTGCACATATCAAGGTCGAGGATGGCACAGCAAGATTTCTTGGTAACTGTGGTGGACCCTTGAGCAATCTCAATGATTATTACAAGCCATGAGATGTCCAAGCCCAGGTTTGGAGCTCTTGACGGCCCTGGAGAAGTTACAGCTCATCGCATGTACTGAACAAAAGCCAACAACCTCCATATTCCATTCTCTCATTATTGTGACCCCGTACATTCATCGACTGCGAAAGTATCATTGGGAAATTTTCCGGTGCTTGCATTATGATTCTCCGACTTTCCCCACTCCCAGGACACGTTTATTGTGAAACAAACCGGCGAAAATTTGTGCTGTCAAACGAAACGCTCGCTGATGGCCGCTGCGCTTGATTCGGCAATAATCCTCGCAGAAGCCGTCATTCTTTTGCCTCCCGGTGGGCTCGCCGATGGTGCTCAGGGGCACGCTAGTTGCCACCATTTTTGCCCATGGCAGATTGAACGGAGAGATGGCTGAGATTAGCCGCCTGATGTATATGCCACTTTCAAATTCCATCTATCTCCCTTGCGGACGTACAGTACTCTGTACATAGGTCCTCTGCACATAGGTATGCGCATTTCATCGCATTATTTCCAACGGTTTTTTTTTTTTTTTTCAAGTGTGGCAACGCCCTTTTCCCACCTTGCCCATTCCTTGTTCAACACAGAGACCATTCTTTCCCCCCGCCCTGCTCCACTCCCTCCCTCTGCGATTGCTATGAACGGTGAACTATGTTACGCGGATGGTCGATTGGAGTACTGATATCCCATGGTTTCATCGATTTGTGGGGCCTCGGTCAGGATATGACGGGGGAAAAGGATCCCTGACGTTCGAAGTTGAGATTGGCTCCACAAGCATTTCCACAAAGGTTTCCACAAAAGTTTCCACATGTTTCATTTATTTCTGACCTGAACTCGGTCGTTTGAATTATGATTTTTCTTTTTTCCCCCTAAACTTCTCAAGATTTCAAGAAGCGAGGCTGTCTTTTGCCTTCTTGTTTTGAATTGTCTATGTCAGATATGGTCGTCGTTATGTCTACCACCTCCGCGACTCGATTTCGCTTCTCGTTTTAGGTCGCCAGCCGCCGTATGGGGAGGACGGAAGTATTTTGACGCGAGAGTGCAAAAAATGAATATCAGAGCTTGTTTTGGTCTCTCTTGTCATCCCGATATCATTACATTTACCCGGCTCCCATTGATATGTCTTTGGACATTGGATGAAAGTGATTTTTTTTTTCTTTCATTGCCACAGCAATTGCTGGACCTGCTTGGTCCTGTTTCTACTTTTGTTTGAAATGCGAAACAACATCAATCGAGATGATCTCCTGCATTCAGCAGTTTGGGACGGACTCAGGATTGCAACGGCCCTATCGCTGAGTCTTTTTTCCTGTCGAACAGCTGTTTCATTGGTTGCAGCAATCTGGATGACTACAAAGAATAAGTGATAAAAAAATCTAGTTTCTTTTCTCTCTTTTCTTTTCTTTTCTTTTGCTTCTACATTCCTCTCGCTGCTGTTGCGGGATTTTTAGCGACCCAATTCCCGAAAAATGAAGAGGATGGAGACCACAAAAACAACAGTTCTACGATGCCATGAACCAATCCTTACCCCGGGCTAGGTTTTTTTTTATGCTGGATCGCTAGCGGATTGGGGACAGGCTTGACTAAACCCACCCTCACCTTGTTTTTCTCATTTTTTCTCCGCCGATTTTAGCTTCATAGGATAGTAGTATGTATGTGAGTTGAAACTCTTTGCCGAAACGGGGACCCCGCTCATCAACAGATTTTCGGCAAGCACTACTGCGCACAGTTTTCAACTGTACCTTTGAGACACATGCAATGCATCTGCTGCACCGGCGGCAGCGGCTCTGCTTGACTACCTGCCACATACAATCTCTCTCGCCGTGTATACCATGCTACACTGCGTGGCGGATGGCAATGTTCCTCCGGCTCGACTTACCCATATGATATCTATCCGCCAGCCCTAGCCATGTCTTGCTTGTTAAGTGAGACGCTGAACAGGCGGGATCAAACGATACAGATACCCAATATTTTCTTCCTTGTCTTTCCGGGTCAGATATTCGACTCCCGCAATTTTATCATCATGGGAACGGTTTTTTCATTGGGCACCTATTGAACAAGATTAGAAAAACCCGCTCTCCTCGTGGTTAATATCACCTTACAAATTCAAATCGTGTTCCACCTGGACGCCCGCAGACGACAGTGCTCACCACTTAAGTCAACCCCTTTATACTTATCAGCAGCACCCATCAGCAGAGCCTATCAACGAGCCATTCTTCTAAATGACTTGACGATGATTATAGCATATATTTACATCTATGAGGAAAACGTAATGACAATGTCATAGGGTTGCAAAATCTTGAAGAAGATAGAAAAGGAGTTAAATCTATCTATGTGTTATCAAGTTCTAACCAAGTTGATGTGTCATTGTAAGAAAATTTTGATTTTCCATTTCGTTAACCATGTTCAACTAGAACCGGGTTTTCTTTTTCCTTTTCTTTATATCTATCTATCTATCTATCTATCTATTTACAACCTCTCCCCAGCAGTCTCTGGAGATCCACATACGCGTTCAGCGTCATAGCCGGCATTCTCGTCATCAGATGTGATTTCCGAGATCAAGTATGAAGAAACAAAAAAAGCATTTAGTTCGGGGAGATGCGTAGAAAACGGCCCATGTCCTTTACATTGCTACAAGAGTATTCGTGGCAAATTCATAAAAACCGGTCGGGGGCTCCATTAAAATGATTTGTCCCATCTACAGCCGTTATTCTCAATTCGACTCCGACTGCGGACCCGATTACGAAGCGCTTGACATGCACTGCCGTACGGCGGCGCAATACCGCCCCTTTGATCTTGTTGTCAACAACTGTCAGAAGTTCTGCAGCCAGATCCTGCAGCGCCTCATTATTAACA